GTATACAGTGGAGTGTACAGTAGAGAGTACAGTAGAGTGTGTAGTGGAGCACGGGCGTCAGTGACGCATTCGGAAGTGCATTTTCAAAAGTGCTGGGTACAAATTCTGCAGCCTGTTTAACCCGTAAATAAATGCATCGATCCGCAAATTTTTGTTTGAGTTCTTAAATGGTCTGGTGGTAGATCTTTTGCCAAGCGTGTCAGAGGTGACGGGTTCTAATCCGCCCTCGGTATAGTTTTTTTTTCTCTCAAAACTGAATAATGTTCATCAGTGGTTACAGTCTATATCAAGCAGCCAGGGACACGTTTGTGTGCATTTTATTTTGTAATTTCACCGGAATGAATATATACAGAGTCTCTCTGCAACGGCGATAGATTGAAGTGCGCGTCCGAGTGAAGACTGTGCGCGAGCCACAGAGAACACTGTATCCACGACACTGATAGCAGCGGACACGAGCGCTCAGCTTGAGTTAAAAAACAAAACATTTTAGCTAGATCTCTTATTTAAGAGCGAACTAAATGAATGCTCTGCTAGTTAACTGGAGATGTTTTATTTGTATTAGGTACATCCGACCGTGCCTCAATGTTTCCAAGAGTGGTGGGTACAAAATGACTCATGACGAAATCTGGTGGGGACGCGTACCCACCGTCCCCAGCGAAATCGACGCCTATGTAGTGGAGTATGCAGTGGAGTATACAGTGGCGTGTACAGAGGGGTGTACAGTATACAGTGGAGTGTACAGTGGAGTGTACAGTGGAGTATACAGTAGAGTGTACAGTGGAGTGTACAGTAGAGCGTACAGTGGAGCGTACAGTAGAGTGTACAGTAGAGCGTACAGTAGAGTGTGCAGTGGAGTGTACAGTGGAGTGTGCAGTAGAGTGTACAGTAGAGAGTACAGTAGAGTGTGCAGTGGAGTATACAGTAGAGCGTACAGTGGAGCGTACAGTAGAGTGTACAGTAGAGAGTACAGTAGAGTGTGCAGTGGAGTGTACAGTGGAGTGTACAGTAGAGTGTACAGTAGAGTGTACAGCGGAGTGTACAGTGGAGTATACAGTAGAGTGTACAGTAGAGTGTGCAGTGGAGTGTGCAGTGGAGTGTACAGTAGAGTGTACAGTAGAGTGTACAGCGGAGTGTACAGTGGAGTATACAGTAGAGTGTACAGTAGAGTGTACAGTTGAGCGTACAGTGGAGCGTACAGTGGAGTATACAGTGGAGTGTACAGTGGAGTATACAGTGGAGTGTACAGTGGAGTGCACAGTGGAGTGTACAGTGGAGTATACAGTAGAGTGTACAGTAGAGTGTACAGTAGAGCGTACAGTGGAGCGTACAGTGGAGCGTACAGTGGAGTATACAGTGGAGTGTACAGTGGAGTATACAGTGGAGTATACAGTGGAGTGTACAGTGGAGTATACAGTGGAGTATACAGTGGAGTACACAGTAGAGTGTACAGTAGAGTGTGCATTAGAGCGTACAGTAGAGAGTACAGTGGAGTATACAGTGGAGTGTACAGTAGAGTGTACAGTAGAGCGTACAGTAGAGAGTACAGTGGAGTATACAGCGGAGTGTACAGTAGCGTGTACAGTAGAGCGTACAGTAGAGAGTACAGTGGAGTATACAGCAGAGTATACAGTAGAGTGTACAGTAGAGTGTACAGTGGAGCGTACAGTGGAGAGTACAGCGGAGTATACGGTGGAGTGTACAGTAGAGTGTACAGTAGAGCGTACAGTGGAGAGTACAGTGGAGTGTACAGTAGAGTGTACAGTAGAGTGTACAGTGGAGTATACAGTGGAGTATACAGTAGAGTGTACAGTGGAGTGTACAGTAGAGTGTACAGTAGAGTGCACAGTGGAGTGTACAGTAGAGTGTACAGTGGACTGCACAGTGGAGTGTACAGTGGAGTATACAGTAGAGTATACAGTAAAGTGTACAGTGTAGCGTACAGTATAGCGAACAGTGGAGCGTACAGTGGAGTATACAGTAGAGTGTACAGTAGAGTATACAGTAGAGCGTACAGTGGAGCGTACAGTGGAGCGTACAGTGGAGTATACAGTGGAGTGTACAGTGGAGTATACAGTGGAGTGTACAGTGGAGTATACAGTGGAGTATACAGTGGAGTATACAGTGGAGTATACAGTGGAGTATACAGTGGAGTATACAGTGGAGCGTACAGTGGAGTATACAGTGGAGTATACAGTGGAGTATACAGTGGAGTATACAGTGGAGTATACAGTGGAGTATACAGTGGAGTGTACGGTGGAGTGTACAGTGGAGTATACAGTGGAGTATACAGTGGAGTATACAGTGGAGTATACAGTGGAGTATACAGTGGAGTATACAGTGGAGTGTACAGTGGAGTGCACAGTGGAGTGTACAGTGGAGTATACAGTAGAGTGTACAGTAGAGCGTACAGTGGAGCGTACAGTGGAGCGTACAGTGGAGTATACAGTGGAGTGTACAGTGGAGTATACAGTGGAGTGTACAGTGGAGTATACAGTGGAGTATACAGTGGAGTATACAGTGGAGTATACAGTGGAGTGTACAGTGGAGCGTACAGTGGAGTATACAGTGGAGTGTACAGTGGAGTGTACAGTGGAGTATACAGTGGAGTATACAGTGGAGTATACAGTGGAGTATACAGTGGAGTATACAGTGGAGTATACAGTGGAGTATACAGTGGAGTGTACGGTGGAGTGTACAGTGGAGTATACAGTGGAGTACACAGTAGAGTGTACAGTAGAGTGTGCATTAGAGCGTACAGTAGAGAGTACAGTGGAGTATACAGTGGAGTGTACAGTAGAGTGTACAGTAGAGCGTACAGTAGAGAGTACAGTGGAGTATACAGCGGAGTGTACAGTAGCGTGTACAGTAGAGCGTACAGTAGAGAGTACAGTGGAGTATACAGCGGAGTGTACAGTAGCGTGTACAGTAGAGTGTACAGTGGAGTATACAGCAGAGTGTACAGTAGCGTGTACAGTAGAGAGTACAGTGGAGTATACAGCAGAGTATACAGTAGAGTGTACAGTAGAGTGTACAGTGGAGCGTACAGTAGAGAGTACAGTGGAGTATACAGCGGAGTGTACAGTAGCGTGTACAGTAGAGAGTACAGTGGAGTATACAGCAGAGTATACAGTAGAGTGTACAGTAGAGTGTACAGTGGAGCGTACAGTAGAGAGTACAGCGGAGTATACGGTGGAGTGTACAGTAGAGTGTACAGTAGAGCGTACAGTGGAGAGTACAGTGGAGTGTACAGTAGAGTGTACAGTAGAGTGTACAGTGGAGTATACAGTGGAGTATACAGTAGAGTGTACAGTAGAGTGTACAGTGGAGTGTACAGTAGAGTGTACAGTAGAGTGCACAGTGGAGTGTACAGTAGAGTGTACAGTAGAGTGTACAGTGGAGTGTACAGTAGAGTGTACAGTAGAGTGCACAGTGGAGTGTACAGTAGAGTGTACAGTGGACTGCACAGTGGAGTGTACAGTGGAGTATACAGTAGAGTATACAGTAAAGTGTACAGTGTAGCGTACAGTATAGCGAACAGTGGAGCGTACAGTGGAGTATACAGTAGAGTGTACAGTAGAGTATACAGTAGAGCGTACAGTGGAGTATACAGTGGGGTATACAGTGGAGTGTGCAGTAGAGTGTACAGTAGAGTGTACAGTAGGGCGTGCAGTAGAGCGGCTGAGATGTCGCCCAAACACACGAGATTAGGATCGTTATGGCTAATAAGTGAGTATTTATGGAGGATTATGGGATTCTTAGGAGCAGATCTGTAGTTTTCCATCCCAGAAGCTCTGAGTAACTGAGTCAACACATGAAGAATGTTCTGTTCAGTCCGAGAAACCAGACCCATCTGGCATAATCGCATTTACATATTTGCAAAATGATGAAATAGTGAGTATGAATAGCGTCTACTATTGAGCGAGTCATCACGCAATGCAAATGCAATTTAAACCACAAGGAAAACATGAGCGAAGTGGAGAAGAACGTGCATCTCAGCCTCATGATCATAAACACAACAGCTCATTAATGCTGAATATAAAACACCAACATAAAAACTGGAAACAAAATACGGATTTGTTTTGATAACATGTTTTATTTTTGAATACTTCTCTTTTATGAATGCTTTTCCTTTATATTGTTGTATTTCTCTTTTGGCAAGGCAAGTTTATTTATATAGCACATTTCATACACAATGGCAATTCAAAGTGCTTTACATAGAAGAAATTAAAATAATCAAAACAAATAAGAATAATTAAAACAGTTTAGAATAAAAAATCAAATAAAGTAGTACTGGTCCACCCCTATCTGAGATGGAAGAGATTGAGCCTTTTATTTATTTTTATTTTTGTGAAGATGTCACTTTTAAAGGCGCTATAGAAAATAAAGTTTATTATTAATATCACAGTATTTAATAACGTTTCTTAATGTTAACTGTTCATAATTATAGTTCAGGTTTATAATTAACACCAATAAATGCATGTAAAATAGTGTTAACAAATGGAAAGTGTTTCCAACTAAATTAATTTGATTTTGGTTATGTATTTGTTAACGTTTTTATTAATTTTAGTTAATCTGTTCATATTGTTCAACATTAATAAATGCATGCTAACTAATATAGTTAACTAATGTTATTTGTGTGATTCCACAGTTTCATTGACTTTATTATTCATATGTTCCATACAGTAGAATAATAAAGAAAGTGGAGGAGTGTTCAGACAAACAGGTATTGCAGATCTCAACACAAGTGAGTCACTGAGGTTTTTGAGAAAGCCACAGTCTCGTAACATGTTCCTCATGCTCTCTCTCTCTCAGTGGAGGCGCGTGTCCGCGGTAGGAGAGCCCACAACACGGGCGAGGAGGAAAAAAACAGAGAATCTTTATGAAGTCACTTCCATTACGTCATGCGCCTGTAATGTTAATGGCGCGCGCTGTGATTGGTCGGCGGCTGCAGTGCTCGCGCGTGACGTCACCGCGCGCGCACTATATGTACCTCGCGCCTGGAAGGGCGCTGACAGAAAGTGTGATTATTAATCTTCAGCATGAAGCCTTGTGTAGTGCTCGTGTTCCTCCTGTTCTCTCTCGTGTGTCTGATGAACCAGGCGTCGGACGCGTGTTCATGCGCGATGTCTCATCCACAGGACGCGTACTGCAACTCCGACATCGGTAAGAGAGAGTGTGTGTGTGTGTGTGTGTGTGTGTGTGTGTGTGTGAGCAGCGAGTTATTCATAATACAGCACTGTGAGATGCATATTATGTAACAGTCAGCGCATATTTACTCAACATCAGCGCGCGCAGATGTTCTTCACCCGCGCGCGTCCGTTCTCCTGGAGCGTTGTGTTATAACGCCTCTCCATCATAAGATAAAAAACGGATCTCATATCGTTTAAACTCAAGTGCGTCATTGCGCGTTTACACGCAAACACGAGAAGCGGAAAGTTTTTGCGGTATCCATGGCAACAAACGCGAACGCAACTCGAGATGTTGTTTTTCACACTTATCCCTCGTATTTGATAAATAAGTGATCCTAAAATATACTATTACTTGGATGTTTGGAGTTTCTAAAACGTTTAACGTGCCGTAATGGAACAATACAGTGATGTTTAAACTATATACTGGCGAACACATGAGCGCGCAATATGAACGCAAACTGCTTAATTGCGCGTGTCTGATTATGCAAACTATCAACAACAAGCGGAATATGAATGAAGCTCACTATATATGTATATTAAGCTTTCTTTACAACGAGAGGGAGCTCAAAACTTCATATTCTGGGCTCATCTGTGCGCCTGGATCGTCAGGATCTGAGATTTGGTCCATCTGAAGTGATTTCCATGGAATATAATATGTGATTTAATATGTTGGAATATCTGTGATGTTTCGGGAAGGGTTTAATGAAGATGATGAGGTCTAGTTCACTGCAGTAATACATCTCAATCACTGCAGCACAAATGATAGAAACTAGCAGAAACCATTAACCCTGAGATCAGGGCTTCTCTGATTTAAAAAGACTTTAACGAATAAAATAATTTAAATCAATTCACACCATTAACGAAAACTATAATAACTATATTAGCGTTATCGTTCTGTTTATTATAAGATGTCTGTCTCTTTAAATCCTCGCACTCTTTAAAGCAAGATGGGTTCTGATTGGCCGTCAGTGTTTCTATTGTTCATTCTGATTGGCTTTCAGAATTTTTATCGTTCCTCACCTGGAAAAAATCGTTCTGAAAGTGATTCCAGCCATATCGTTCCTCTGTGATGTTATCGTTATAGTTGTGGTGTTACTCTGCTATTCTCTAAGAGTTAAGGCTCGTTCACACCAATAACGAAAACTATAATACTAACAATAACGATAATTATGTTAGCCTCACAACAGCGGACGATATAGTTCTGTTTATTATAAGCGCTGCAGTTTTGTCGTCTGTCACTTTAAATGCTCACACTCAGTGTTTTTAGCGTTCATTCCGATTGGCTGTCAGTTCATTCCGATTGGCTGTCAGTGTTTTTAGCGTTCATTCCGATTGGCTGTCAGTGTTTTTAGCGTTCATTCCGATTGGCTGTCAGTGTTTTTAGCGTTCATTCCGATTGGCTGTCAGTGTTTTTAGCGTTCATTCCGATTGGCTGTCAGTGTTTTTAGCGTTCATTCCGATTGGCTGTCGAAAGCTGTGTCCCAATGTGAAGGCTGCATCCTCCGAAGGCCACGGACTTCGAAGGATGCAGCCTATTCGTCCTTCGAAGGACGCACCTTGTAGCCTTCATAGGATTTCCTAACTGCGCATCCAGGTGTTCCCGATTACCGCTCCATGGTGCCAAGCAACAGTGCGAGATGGAGCTGCCGTCCTGATCATTCATTTGTTATAATTGAGTAAACAGCTATGGAGCCAGAATTGGCTATTGTCATTTTTATGTTTTATATTTTACTGAGGATGTTAAATACATGAATTTTCTAAACGACATTTAGGCCACTTTTGTCAATTTTTGTCACAATTTTTTAGGAGGAAAAAGCTCAGTATAATAGAATAAGCAAAAAAAAAAACTTCACATATAAAAAAGGAATATAACACAAACACAAGGTTAGGTTATATAAAAATAAAACATTCATAAATTATTTTATGGTTATTACTGTCTTCAGTGAACTCAACGCAAATGATAATAATATTATTATTATTATTAGCCTACATTTAGGCTACATATTTAGAAGGCGGTTTTATCCAAAAAAGGAACAAAGAAATTCGTCAAATGTCAGTCATAATACAGGGCTAAGATTATCACAAATAAACACAAGATTTTGACGCAAATGTGTGTGGGAGTGTGAGCGCGCACTGCATGGCACGGAGGCGCGGCCGCGAACACTTGCATTTTGCATTTTGTATTGTATCTTGTATTTTTATTATGATGTTTAATTATTTTTCATTGTAAAGCGCATTGAATTGCTTTGATGGATGAACTGTGCTATATAAATAAACCTGATTTGATTTGATTTTCACATCAACAGTGGAAACAACTTAAAAAATACTCTATAATTTCTGGTCATACAGAAAAGAATAATACATCATTCGCAACTACTTTTATTTGTCTCACATAACAAGAAAACGTTGTGCTTTTGTAAAATAAAATAAAACAATCAGTCGCGCTTTCATGATCTCCGTGAACTGGAGCGCGTCTCATAACTGAACTGAAACAAAATATACCTTGCCTAAAGCTTGAAATGTTCACTTTTAAACGAACAATTAAAATGCCTCGTTATTTATTCAGACACATTTATTTTCATTAGCCTATAAATCATGGTTCCAGAGACATGGCTCTTCTCATTCAGCATTGCGTGAAAAATATAATTTCCAGGTTCTAATCTGGCTTTAGAAAACCAGTAAAATCGACATTTGTCCCATAATTTGTGAATATTTTAAATGTTTAATAAAGGGGCAAAAAGTCTTTTTTTTTTTTGTTCTTTTTTTTGTGCAGCATTTGTGTAGCCTACTACAGTTCAAATTTTGGTGTTCAACTTTGGCTTTTAAAAATACAACAACCTTTCATTTTTAGTTTTTCAATTACGGGTTAAAAAAAAGAAAAACAAATGGACGCAAAAGTAGGCTACCTTATATTATTAAATATTTAAAATAATGTATTTGTAGAAAGGTTTGATAGTCAATCAAAATACTAGTAAAATCAAAGACTTTAATCTAAAAGACTATCACTAAACTATCTTTAGTTTAATAGTCTGTGTAAATTTGCATCCATTCGTTTTTAATTTTTTTAACCCGTAATTGAAAAACGAAAAATGAACGGTTTTAAAAGGCATAGTTAAACACCAACATTTGAATTTGAACTGTAGGCTACACACCAAATCCTGCACCAAAAATGCTGTCGTCACCGGCGCGCAATGAATTATGGGGTAGGATCAGGGTAGGATAGGCCGCTAAGTGTCCATTTATGTATCCTTCCTTTCACGGGGAAACGAAGGGTGCATTTGGCGTCGCTTTTGAATCAGGGTAGCCTTCGTCACGCCGCTGTGACGCAATCGGCCTTCGAATACGGCCTTCGGAGGACGCAGCCTTCACATTGGGACACAGCTAGTGTTTTTAGCGTTCATTCCGATTGGCTGTTAGTGTTTTTGGCGTTCATTCCGATTGGCTGTCAGTGTTTTTGGCGTTCATTCCGATTGGCTGTCAGTGTTTTTAGCGTTCATTCCGATTGGCTGTCAGTGTTTTTAGCGTTCATTCCGATTGGCTGTCAGTGTTTTTGGCGTTCATTCCGATTGGCTGTCAGTGTTTTTAGCGTTCATTCCGATTGGCTGTCAGTGTTTTTAGCGTTCATTCCGATTGGCTGTCAGTGTTTTTGGCGTTCATTCCGATTGGCTGTCAGTTCATTCCGATTGGCTGTCAGTGTTTTTGGCGTTCATTCCGATTGGCTGTTAGTGTTTTTGGCGTTCATTCCGATTGGCTGTCAGTTCATTCCGATTGGCTGTCAGTGTTTTTGGCGTTCATTCCGATTGGCTGTCAGTTCATTCCGATTGGCTGTCAGTGTTTTTGGCGTTCATTACGATTGGCTGTTAGTGTTTTTAGCGTTCATTCCGATTGGCTGTTAGTGTTTTTAGCGTTCATTCCGATTGGCTGTTAGTGTTTTTGGCGTTCATTCCGATTGGCTGTCAGTTCATTCCGATTGGCTGTCAGTGTTTTTGGCGTTCATTACGATTGGCTGTTAGTGTTTTTAGCGTTCATTCCGATTGGCTGTCAGTGTTTTTAGCGTTCATTCCGATTGGCTGTTAGTGTTTTTGGCGTTCATTCGATTGGCTGTCAGTGTTTTTAGCGTTCATTCCGATTGGCTGTCAGTGTTTTTAGCGTTCATTCCGATTGGCTGTCAGTGTTTTTAGCGTTCATTCCGATTGGCTGTCAGTGTTTTTAGCGTTCATTCCGATTGGCTGTCAGTGTTTTTAGCGTTCATTCCGATTGGCTGTCAGTGTTTTTAGCGTTCATTCCAATTGGCTGTCAGTGTTTTTGGCGTTCATTCCGATTGGCTGTCAGTGTTTTTGGCGTTCATTCCGATTGGCTGTCAGTGTTTTTAGCGTTCATTCCGATTGGCTGTCAGTGTTTTTAGCGTTCATTCCGATTGGCTGTCAGTGTTTTTAGCGTTCATTCCGATTGGCTGTCAGTGTTTTTAGCGTTCATTCCGATTGGCTGTCAGTGTTTTTGGCGTTCATTCCGATTGGCTGTCAGTGTTTTTGGCGTTCATTCCGATTGGCTGTCAGTCTTTTTAGCGTTCATTCCGATTGGCTGTCAGTGTTTTTAGCGTTCATTCCGATTGGCTGTCAGTGTTTTTAGCGTTCATTCCGATTGGCTGTCAGTGTTTTTAGCGTTCATTCCAATTGGCTGTCAGTGTTTTTAGCGTTCATTCCGATTGGCTGTCAGTGTTTTTAGCGTTCATTCCGATTGGCTGTCAGTGTTTTTAGCGTTCATTCCGATTGGCTGTCAGTTCATTCCGATTGGCTGTCAGTGTTTTTAGCGTTCATTCCGATTGGCTGTCAGTGTTTTTGGCGTTCATTCCGATTGGCTGTCAGTGTTTTTGGCGTTCATTCCGATTGGCTGTCAGTGTTTTTGGCGTTCATTCCGATTGGCTGTCAGTGTTTTTAGCATTCATTCCGATTGGCTGTCAGTGTTTTTAGCGTT